CAGCATGATTACAAATGTGATATTGATTTTATACAACAGTTCAATAAACATTATTAATAAACATTACTTACCATATTGCCTGTTTTTGCTCTATTTCGGCAGCAAAATTAATTCCAAATACAACACTTTTTTTTTGTTTTTGCGTCTCTGAGCAACATGACGGTGTTTCGTTCCTGAATGAATCAATCATTTAAATGATTCAGTTCAATCGCAATGACTCGCATATTAACAGTGATTTGCTGCCACCTACTCTCGGTTTTAATTTCACATTTAAAGTATCTTTTCATTTTTTCAATAATTTCAAATATCAGTATTCAACGTTTTTTTGTTTAAAATATCAAAACCTTATATATGTGTTTGTAACTGCAGGTTAAAGCATTCTTGTCCTACATTAAACAATGTGGCATAAATGCCACTTCAGATGCAGCTTCTGTGTTTCCTCTGCACTGCAAAGATGAATTTTGTTGATACTGATTTCATTTGCTTGGTAACAGCTCAAATGTCTTATTATTCTAATTCACTGATTAAATGTAAGAATTTGACTCAAAAGATAATGCACACTTTTAGAAAAAAAGGCTTTATAAAGGTAAAAATGCCAATAAAAGGTAAAAATCACTTTAAACTTATTGGAAAATATTAATTTCTATCAAAGTGAACTGACCACCACGCAGAATATGAAGAATATAAAAACCTTTAGGAGTCAGCTGTCCACGGTAGTCCTTAAGGTACCAGCACAATAACACACTCAACAAAATATCATCTAATTGTTGTAATCGATAAAATCCTAGAAAATATTGAGATATATACAATATTGCACACCCCTATTTAACGTTTTGTTTAGAAAAATATGTAAATATGAGAAGGGCCCTTTTTTCCACTTGAGCCCCTGCCCCTCAAAATGTCTGTGCACGTCCCTGCTCAGAAGTGATTTAACTGTCGGTGCGATATATTGCTTGTATTGCCACCTAGTGGCATAACTGGCTAAGCTTCAGAAATGGCCACTGACAGTCTATCGTTAACACACAAACAGACAAACGGTGTGACATAAACAGTAAAAAGTCCTAAACAGTGTTAGACATGTTCACCACATCCTGTGAAAAGGTCAGCATCTCAAATGATTATAAACAAGCCCCTTTTCAAAACTAGTTACTCATAAAAAAATTAAAAACATAAAATTACTGAAACAGTTTGCATCAATATTTTGGTGTTATGACAACTTCTAATGAAATTATGTTCAAACAACAAACTATACTGCGTTAGAAGAACATAATCTGTAGCATAAACACATTTTTAAGTTGATTATTAAGATATTAAAGTTGTTGCTCCAACTAATAGGAAAATTCAGATTGCATGGAGCATTTACATTTATTCATTCAGCATACAGTTTTATTCAAGATGACTTAAAAATAAGGAACAAAAGCAATGGTCGTACATTATTATGATAATAAACTGGTAACATAAACCTGTAAGAATTAGATACATTAAAACAATACTGTAAAAACATCAACTTGCAAATATGGAATAATTTTTAACAGTTTAACAGTTGCTTTAAAATATGTTTTTCCACTTTTTGACAAATTTTGATTTAGTTATTAAGAAAATCTAGTCAGAAATTAGAAACTGATACAGTCAATCAGAACTGACAGAAATTATTGTGACACATTAAGTAATGATGATGCTGATTAAAAAAAATGTCAAAAGCCATAAAAATGTCATTAACTGGAATAAAATAAACTTTAAGTGAAATTAAATAAAATACAAATATTTAGTTAGTTGTAATTTCTAATTTTAGTCAACATTTCTAATTTTCTTTAGTTTAACTTTGTACTAAACTGAAATAAATTAAAATAAAAAACAACAAAAACACTGCAAAATTAGTAAACATTATTCTACTTTCTAAATTTTAATAAAAACTTTAATAGAATCTCAATTATGTTAAAATAACACTGGTATAAGTTAAATATGCTGTGCTTTCGGTTTCTTTCAGAGTTTTGTTGGTGACAATAACAATAATTAATTTAGTGAATTATTTTGTCAATAAAAATGATACATATTTGTACTAATAAGAGACAGTAACTTGGACAGTCAGTGGCCTGCAGGAAATGGAAAATACACAGAGTGCAGTTCTCAGTGCGGCCGGTGGGTGGCGGTGATTTGCTGCAGTACTGCAGAACTGTGACGCGCATCAGCCGCAGAAGAAGAAACATAGTTAGCGGTAGTGAGTCGCGTTCAGGACAGTCCAGGAGTCAGCGTCGCCTTTTGGGAGCGTGGACTGGATGACTGAACTTTGCGTTGGAAGAGACGGTGGATTGTAATCAAACTGTATCGTGAGTGTAGCAATGGGTTATGATTCAGATGGTGATGATGATGGGTGGCCTTCAGATATGGAGGTTAACCGAACTAAAAAGGCAAGGAAAAAAGCATGGTCTGAAGCGAGTAGTGGAGGAGAGAGTACACCAAGACAAACGATCAAAAAGATCAGAGCTAAACCTAGTGGAAGCAGTAGGTTTGATGATGACAAACAGGAAGAGTGGAAAGTCATTATTACGCTTAGTAATGATAAAGGTCACTTTCATCCAGTTCAGGTAACTAAAGCAATGGAGAAGGAAATAGGGGAAATAAAATATGCTAAATTACTGAATAACAGAAGAATTCTAATTTCAGCAGTAAATAAGAAGCAGCAGGAGATGCTACTGAAAATGAGTAGCCTTGGTGGTGGAAAGATTAAAGTGCATGTACCAGGAATGGCAGCAAAGTTAAGAGGAGTGATTTCAAATGTGCCTCTGGAAATGTCCATGGAAGATGTGAAGAATGAGATACAAGGTGGGAATGTAACCGAAGCCAAAAGATTCCAAATTAATAAAGGTGGTGTTAAATCAGATAGCCTGTCTGTACTGCTGGTTTTTGAAAAGATAATGCCTGCTGAAGTCCAAATGGGTTGGATCAAATACAAAGTGAGGGAATACATTCCACAACCGTTAAGGTGCTTCAAATGTCAGAGAATGGGACATACAGCACAACAGTGTAAATGGAGACAAAGATGTGCGAAATGTGGAGGAGAACATGACTATGGTAAATGTAAAAAGGATGCTAAGCTAAAATGCTGCAATTGTGGAGGTGAGCATAGTGCTGCATATGCTGGATGTGTGGTTCAGAAACAAGCTAAAGAAGTACAAAGATACAAGGTTATGAATAAGGTGACATATGCAGAGGCATTAAAGGGTATTGGTATTTATGAAAACAAACAAAATAAACCAATAGAATATCAGAAAAATTTGAATGACAATGCAAGGTATGCAGTACCACGGAGTTCAGACATAAGGAAATATCAGCCAGGAAGGCCAGCACCTCCACTGCAGCCATGCAATCATAAGTGTAAAGTTGAGGAGAACACCTTGATTGTGGAAAAGAAAAGTTTTATAGCTTTTATGTGCAAAGTTGTTAATGTTGTGACACGACAAGAAAGAAAAAGCGAGAGAATCAAGACAGTTGTGGAAGCTGCAGAGGAGTTTCTAGGCATTAAAGATGTAAAAGCTGAAGATATACATAGTATGTTGAGTGCTAATAATGATGGGGATCTCAGAGTGTTAACTAATCTTGTAATGGTATTCCACCTCTTGCAATGGAATGCTAGAAGCTTGATTGCAAATGGACAAGAGTTTAAAAAGTTTGTTGCAGATTCTGAAGTCAAACTTGATATTGTTTGCATTCAAGAAACCTGGCTTCGACCTCACCTTGATTTTATTATACCTGGATATGAGTCTGTCAGGTTTGATAGAGGTGGAAATCAAGGTGGAGGCTGTGCAACATTTGTAAGGGATGGGATATCATTTAAAAGAATAGCATCTTCAATAGAAATAGAATGTGTGATTATTGAAGTATATAAATCAGATGGGAACTTGGTAGTAATCAACTTTTATAACCCATGTAAATTATGAAGCCCAGACGTTTTAGAGGACATAGTTAGGAGTCAAGGAAAAAGGAAAGAAATATGGTGCGGAGACTTCAGTGCACACAATAGTCTTTGGGGAAGTAGTGTAAGAATTGATGGATGTTAGGCAGCTAGTTTGTCTAAATAATGGAAATGGTACAAGAATTGACATACGTTCTAACACATTGTCTTGTATTGATCTTACTTTAGTTTCTAATAATCTGGCAAATTCTTGTGAGTGGAATATTGAAGACAGTACAAGTATTGGGAGCGACCACTTTCCAATAATATGCTCTATAAATGTTGAAATAGATATCCAAGAAAGGCCTAGGCATAAGAAGTGGGATTTTACAAAAGCTGACTGGCAAAAATGTAAAGAAATATGTTGTGAGTCAGTGCGGAGGCTTCAGATAGATGTGAGATTCTGCTGGGTACCTGCTCATGTAAATATAAAAGGGAATGAGAAAGCAGACAAAATAGCAAAGAAATCAACCAGGGCGAGCAATATTATAAATATTCCCTTTGGTAAAGGAGAAGCTAAGGCAATAATAAAAAAATAAATAATGAAGAAATGGCAGGACAGATGGGACATGGATAATAGTGGAAGGAAATATTATAGTATACAGAAATTTATCAACGCACAGGGTGTGAATGGAAGGAATAGAAGGGAGGAGTCAGTTCTAACCAGGCTGAGGTTTGACCACACAGGGTTAAATAAAACATTGTTTTTGTTAGGTAAAAGTAAATCAGATGAATGTATGGAATGTAAAATCACAGAAAATGCAGAACATATATTGTTACATTGAATGGAAATATAGGTAAGAGAGGATTAGATTAAACCAAAAGATAAGTCAGACAGGAAGGAAATGGAACCTTGAGAGTGTTTTGGGAACAACAGGAGAAGGGGTTAAAGATGCACAGGATGCTGTTGTGGAATATCTGAAGGATACAGGGGTATATTATAGGATTTAGATAGTAGTGCTATAATATTTATTTATAAAATATATATATATTTTTTATATATACTGTAAAGTGCATTCAGTGAGATATAATCCATGCTGCATACTCCGATACAGTAGGTGGCGGTATGCACCTGATAAGTTATGGTTGCAATCCGCCATAAAACTAAGAAGAAGAAGAAGAGTCGCGTTCAGAGAAACGGCAGCAGAAAAATCATGGAGGAAACCGCAAAAAAGGAGAAAAAGCAGTCCGAAATCTCGGAGGAGAAGGACAAACAACCGGCGGGGAAAGACAAGGAGAAGAAAGAGGATCAGGAGCTGGTGAGAGAGAGAAAAAGCAGGCGCTTAAGACTGAGTTTGAATTCCGCCTGAGTCACTCTGCAGGCCTGACTCTAAACACATCCACAAAACACTCTCACATTCATCACTACACACTGATTATAAATCAATATCAGCGCGAAACACTTTACAACACCGTGTCTGTGCGTAACACAGCGTTAATACGACCAACGTGCTGAATAAACTGACCTGCAGACAGTCCAGGGGTATTTATACGCGACATATAGCATATAAATATGTAAACACAGGGATTTATTGAATGAATGGATGGATATAGTTGGTAAATATAATTGAATATGAGGAGAAGGTCATTTGTCTGCTTTTAAAATAGTTATCTTTCATTGTTTGTAGACGTCTGATGTGTGTGCGATATTGAATGGTGTATTTGTTGTTGTTTTTGCAGTCAGAGGAGGACAAACTGCTTCAGGAGGAGTTGGAGATGCTCGTGGAAAGACTCGGTGTAAGTGGAGTTCGTTTTTGCTGGATTTTTTAGTTATTTCTGGTGAAATAATATACCTGTACATAGTGCTGGGCGGTATGACCAAAAATGTATATCACGGTATTTTCAAAATTATACCGCTGTCACGGTATATTACGGTATTTTTTTTTCATGCATGACCGGGTGTTAACCATGTTTTCTACTGATTGAGAGGAAATACCGCGGTATATTGACTTAGAATGCCCTATTTTACTGTCATGATGAGTGAATAGAATAGAAAGTGCTAGAGTTAGAGGGTCAAATAAAGGTGACCCTTTATTTGACCAAATGTATAATGTATACCAAATGTATACCAAAACATTTGTTTTGGTATACCGCCCAGCACTACCTGTACATAATAATATAGGCTACCTGTACATACAAAATTGTCTATTGGAATGTACCTGTACAATATTGTCTATTTGTATATTGTTATTCCCTATTTACTTATTCTATTTTTATTCTTTTATTATCTGTGTTTTGTTTTGTCTCGTCACTGTCATTCAGTTGCACTGCGGAAGCTTCTGTCACGAAAACAAATTCATCATATGTGTAAACACACCTGGCAATAAAGCTCATTCTGATTCGGAAATGTCATGTTGACACGTATTAAGAAGCACAATTAAGATAAATATCCTGAATTTTGTGTGAATTGTTTGTTTTGTAATTATGAATGAAAGTGTAATTAATTTCTTGATTTATGAAATGGCTCGCTGATGCAGAATAATGTTTACCAATACCGTCATTGTCCATTTTTCACAATAAAATCTAATTGTGGTGGATAAAATGCTAATTAAAGTAAACTAAGGTAAAATGTCAAAAGAACTTAAAATAGCTTTTAAGAAAATTATTTCTTTTGAATGTAATTTCTTAATTACTGAAATTACTTGCTGATGCAAAATAAAGTTTATCTATAACGTCATTGTCCGTTTTTCACAATAAATTCTAATCCTAATAAATAAAATACAAAAAAAAAAAAAATTCTTGGCAACTAACTGAAATAAGTTAAAATTACTAAAACTGAAAGAAAAAATAATTTGAAAAATAAAAACTGAAATAAGTTAGTAATAAGCTAACATTCTTAAAACTGAAAAAAAAAAGAAATTTAAACTATTTAGAAATTAAAATAATAATAAAACGACTAAATTACTTAAAAGGAAAACTGAAAATATAAAAAATAAAAGCATTTCTGAAATAAATTGCTGATGCAAAAAAAGTTTAGCAATAACGTCATTGTCCGTTTTTCACAATGCAATCAAATCCTAGTGGATAAAGTCACATCCTGACCCACATTATTATTGAATGTTCTATTTCACTCATGTTAAGGAAATTAAACATGTTGCGACTGCATCCGACTGCATTATCTGTTAATTCTTTTGGTGCTAAACAAGCAGATGTGACGCTCGTTTTCTCTGTGTTTCTCAGGAGAAGGACACGTCTCTGTACCGTCCTGCTCTGGAAGAACTGCGGCGTCAGATTCGCTCCTCCACGACCTCCATGACCTCGGTGCCCAAACCGCTCAAGTTCCTGCGACCGCATTACGCCAAACTCAAGGACATCTACCAGAACATGGCTCCAGGAGAGAACAAGGTGCACATCTGTGGCGTCTGTCAGACACAGGGCCGAAGCCCAGGGGCCTACACTGGAAAGGGGGCCCTCTGGCTGCAGGGAAATTATATTTTTTGAATAATTATTTATATGGCAGTTTGCAGCAGTGACAACAGCATTCTGTAAACAAACTCACACACTCATTTTCAGCAACGCACTGGTTGTAGTAGCCTATATAGTGAATGGTTCAGTTTAGGTTCCCCCCACACAGTTTGTATAGTTGGTATGTTCCATGTGTTCCTCCACATTGCATGCACTAGTAAAGACGCCCAGCACAAGAGTGTCTTTATGTTAACGTGCAGATTATCAAAGGTTCTGCTTCAAAGTCTTAATTTTTAACCTGGGTATGGAAAAATCGTCCTATTGCTTAAATGTGATCATTAAACTTTATGCGGCTGTGATTTAATTAATTAAACGTGAGCAGGGCATGCTTCAAAATAAAACGCAGTTAGCAGTCACCAAACAGCCCACATTTATGTCAAGTGTTGTTTCGATCTGCTGATGATGAATAATGAATATTTTGTGTGATTTATGGTGTTTAAATCATATATGTAAACTCACAAATTTTGATGGCTTTTTTTTTTCATATAACCTCCGTATAGTGCCTGTAATAACATACGTGTTTACTTTATGTAATGCTATAATTCTGATGTTCCACAAGCGCCACCTTGTGGCAAAGAGTGAATTTGCAGTGTTGTGAATGTTAACTGGCATATTAACAAGAAAAAAAAAATCGAAATTTGACAAATAATTGTCAGGAAGCTTTAAAAGAAAGTTTTTCTGGGGTAGGGGGGCCTACTGTAATGCTGTAGGCCAGGGGCCTCTGGTTATCTTAGGGTGATCAGCATGTGTTTGTGTGCAGCGTGACAGTCTCTCTCTCTGTTTCACAGCAGTTCTGCGCAGACGTGGTGTCTGTTCTCGCCATGACCATGAGCAGCGAGCGAGAGTGTCTGAAATACCGTCTGCTGGGCTCACAGGAGGAGCTCGCCTCATGGGGACACGAATACGTCAGGTACGTCATGCTGAAGACAAACTGGAACTACTGAAAATCATTTTCAGTCATTCAAATAAAGCTGGAATAAAAATGATATGGAATGAAGATTTGATTTGTATTTTTTATTTTTTATTTTAGTTTGAACTGTAGTAATGTTTTTATGTGTATTTGTCATTTTTGTTAGTTTTGTTCGTTTAAAACAAAAAAAATTCTAATTCTCTTTATTTATATTTCAGTTCAAAATATTTATAAATTGCATACGTCAAGCAGACCACATGCTGAAGACACAAACATTACACCAGTGTCACGTTTAACTAGAACTATTGAAAATCATTTTCTTTGTCTTTGAAATAAAGCTGGAATAATATAAAATGGAATAAAGTTTTTTTTTTCATTTTAATTTTAGTTTAAACTTTTTTTTTTTTTTTTTTTTTTTTTTTTTTTTTTTTTTTCAAAAAAAATTTTTCTTTCTACCTCTCCTCGCAAATTTTATCCAAGCCAAATGTTTAGATTTGACTTCAGACAAAAATAAATAAATAAATAAATAAATAAATAACTGTTCTTTGACTTTTCTGGTAATTTGTGAATTTTTGTTGATTTTTATGCCTTTATTGGATAGGACAGTAGAGATCAGACAGAGAAGTCTGAAAAATGCACATACATTTTATTTCAAAATAGAGATAACTAAATAGTTTTTTTTTTTTTTTTTTTTTTTTTTTTTTTGTTCTTTTTCCAAAAAATATTTCTAATTCACTTTATTTATATTTCAGTTCAAAATATTTATAAGCAACAAACGAAAATTAGAAATGTTGCTTTGGACACTAACTGAATTTAAATAGAATTACTAAAACTACAACACATTTTGATTTATGTATTTTTGGTTTCCATTTTAGTGTAAGTTTCAGTAATATGTGCTTTTGTCATTTTTATTAAATTTTTATTATTCTATTTAGCGTTAGCCTATTTTTTTTCCAAGTATAAAATATTTATAAATTATTAAAGCAAAAATTAGAAAGGTTGATTTGGTCAAAATTAAAAAATAGTTACTTTGTAAATGCAACAAATTACAATATAAGTTTCAGTAATATGTGCTTTTGTCATTTTTATTAATTTTTTATATTTCTATTTAGCGTTAGCCTATTTTTTTTCCAAGTATAAAATATTTATAAATTATTAAAGCAAAAATTAGAAAGGTTGATTTGGTCAAAATTAAAAAATAGTTACTTTGTAAATGCAACAAATTACAATATTACACACAAGTGAATTATTTTTAAGATCAAAATGATTTTCTTCTCACTGAAACATGTTGGTTTGAAATGTTGCTTTGGATGTTATTTAAAATAATAATAAAAATGTCAAAGGCACATAACAAAATGACTAAAATGAAAACTGAAAATAAAAAAAAATTATAAAAGCTAATTCAAAATATTTTTTATAAATTGTATAAACAAAATTTAGAAATTGTTTTGGCCACTATCTGAAATAAAATAAGCTTAAAGTAAAAATGACTAAAACTACAACTAAAATAAAAATAAATGAAAGCTAAATATAAATATATAAAAAAAAACATAAAAATGACAAAAGTGCATAAAAAAATTAGAAAAATCTCAACTAAAATAAACTTAACTTAAGCTGAACTAAAACTATGAAAATATACAAATTAAATTATATATGTGTGTATAATATAATATATAAATTCTATAAAAAAAGTGAAAAATAATGAAGAGTTATGAAAAATAATGATAAATAAAAATGTTAAACTAAACATAAATGGAAACATCAAAAAATAAAACTGACAAAAGCACATAACAAAACCATTTAAAATTAAACTAACTAAAATTAAAATGAAAGCATATAAATTAAAGCTAATTCTAAATATTTATAAATTCTAAAATAGTATATAAATTATGCTAAAATAACACTGCATTAGACTAGAAACCAGTGATCTCTGTTTTATAATTTTTTTTTATCTTTGTGAATTGTCTTGAAGTTTTTGGATTTCTACAAACCTCACAAACTTCCCTTAGACTCGTATCTGTTGCTCAGAAGTGCAGTGTGTGAACTTTCTGGTTTCTAAGCAGTCTGTGATGTGATCTTGTGTGTGTTTGCAGGCATCTGGCGGGAGAGGTGGCTAAGGAATGGCAGGAGATCGAGGAAGGCGATAAAGCTCAACAGGAAGTGCTGCTGAAGCTGGTCAAAGAGATCGTCCCGTATAACATGGCCCATAATGCCGAGCACGAGGCCTGTGACCTCCTTATGGAAATCGAGCGGCTCGACATGCTAGACACGTACATCGATGAAAACGCCTACGCTAAAGTCTGCCTCTACCTGACCAGGTAATAAAAGTTGACCTAACGCAAAAAATAAGGCAACCTATCGCGCTCAACTTGTTAAGTTAACGCAACTAGGAACCGACAACTTAAAAACTTTAGTTCATCTAATGAATAAAAGTCAGTCTATTGAGTTTTGAAAGATCTGTCAGATCAACCAAAGATTTTTTAGCAATTAGCAATGCCAATCTTTTTTTAACAATACTCTTTTTTTTTTTCTTTTTTTTTGTTTTTTAGATTTATGTTTATTTTCAAAGCCCACTACATAATATGGGTAGTATTTGCCTCTTAAAACTAAAGGCAAACATTTATGATGAAGTAAATCAGTAAAAATATGAACTCTGATCCACGTGACAGATGACTCACAGTGACAGCAGCAGCATAAATTAACCCAGTAAAATGTAAAACAATGATAATATTTTAATAATAATTAACAAAATGTTTTCAAGCTGCAATGCATGCTGGGAACTTGTGCAGTATTGGTCAGTGTAAAATTGTTTGTTCAGATGACTCAATTTTAGGGTTGCAAAAAGGTGGAAAATTTCCAGTAAATTTTGGAAACATTCCAGAAATTTTGGAAACTTTCCAGGATTTTTTTTTTTTATGTTCCAGGGATTTTTGGAAAGTTTCCAGAAATTTACCGGAAATTTTGCAACCCTACTCAATTTGAGAAGTTGGGAGAGAATTTGGATATGTTGTGAACAAACACTTGAGTATCTAAGTAAGCAAGGTAAACAAAACATCTTTCGCTAGCGACATGTTTAGAGTATTTTTGTTCGGTTCGCACAAAAAAAATGAACTGACTTCTACTAAAAATTCCTTGTTTGGGCTACTTTTCTACATTTGTTAGAACTTTTAGAAAGTTTAATTTTTTTTACAATGCCTCTGAACACACGTCTCTGAATGTGTTTGTGTCTAATTGTAATTATTACTATTATTACTACTATTGTTATTGTTATTATTATTATTATTATTTCTTCACCACATGAGTATGCATTTTTTTTGCATTACAATAATGAGAAATGTCAGTGAAAATGTGCTTTATTGTCTTGAAAATGTCTCAAGATTTAACTTCAATATATACATTTTATATAATTTTAAATTTATATTAATTAGTGCTGTCAAACGATTAATCGCGATTAATCGCATTCAAAATGAAAGTTTTTATTTGCATAATATATGTGCACTGTGTATATTTATGATGTATTTATAAATACAAACACATGCATGTATATATTTAAGAAAAATTGTATGTTTATATATTAAATATATTTATATATAACATAAAATATAATAATATGAATATATAATTGTATAAACGTAAATATTTTCTAAATATATACTGTATGTGTATTTATTTATATATACATAATAAATATACACAGTACACATAACTATATTATGTAAACAAAAACTTTTATTTTGGATGCGATTAATCGCGATTAATCGTTTGACAGCACTAATATTAATGAAAAACATTACATAATTAAATGTATTTAGTATATTTATATTAATACATTCATATAAATGTATATTAAAAAACTATTTTATATTAATAGATATATATTTTTTCCTTGATAAAATGGGGAAGAATTATTCTGTGGAAATGTGTTTGTCAATAAAAAAATATCTGAAGATTTAACGTAAATATAATTTTTGTTCATTTTAAATTTGTTAATGTAAAAAAAGTAGAATAAATAAATTAAATCTATTTTAATGAATTTGTATAAATTTATATGTATTAATGAACATATATATTAAAAGGTAATTATCTATTAACACAAATATTTTTTGTCTTTGATCAAATGGGGAAAAAATGTGCTTTATTGTCAATAAAATGTCAATAATGTGTATTTTATTGCAAACTCCAGCTGTGTGAGTTACGTCCCCGAACCGGAGAACTCGGCTCTGCTGAAATGCGCTCTCAACATCTTCCGCAAGTTTAACCGTTACCCAGAAGCCCTCAGGCTCGCGCTGATGCTTAATGACGTGGAGCTGGTGGAGAACATCTTTACTTCCTGCAAGGACATGTATGACGCACATGCACAGTCTGTCTCGTGAAAAATTCATTTCCATTTGCTTAACACAGATAGTAACAGTCCGTGTGTGTGTGTGTTCAGTGTCATTCAGAAGCAGATGTCGTTCATGTTGGGTCGACACGGCATGTTCCTGGAGCTCAATGAAGATGTGGAGGATTGTGAAGATCTGACGGAGATCATGTCCAACGTGCAGCTCAACAGCAACTTCCTTGCACTGGCTAGAGAGGTGATAAAACACACATGCACACACTCACACACACACACACACTCACTCACACAAACACACTCACTCACTCACTCACTCACTCACTCTCACACACACACACACACACACGCTCACTCACTCACACACACACACTCACTCACTCACTCTCTCTCTCACACACACACACACACTCACTCACTCACTCTCTCTCTCACACACACACACACACTCACTCACTCACTCTCTCTCTCACACACACACACACACTCACTCACTCACTCTCTCTCTCACACACACACACACACTCACTCACTCACTCTCTCTCTCACACACACACACACACTCACTCACTCACTCTCTCTCTCACACACACACACACACTCACTCACTCACTCTCTCTCTCACACACACACACACACTCACTCACTCACTCTCTCTCTCACACACACACACACACTCACTCACTCACTCTCTCTCTCACACACACACACACACTCACTCACACAAACTCACACACTCTCACACACACAAACACACACACACACACACACACGCAAAAAAACACGCACACACACACTCGCACACACGGACACATGCACACTCGCGCACACAGACACACAAAAATATCCGGGTCATAAATCCCAAAAGAAACAATGTTTAGGGTGCAACAAAAAATATTGTATTGTATTATTTCAGTTGTAAAGTGCCGTTGTAAATATGCATATGGTAAATGGACTGAATTTAAATCATTCTGATTTTAATGAAAAACATCGTTATGTCCAGACAGGATCGTTTTATACCTGTATGACAATAATTTCAAAAATGTGGATTATTATTATTATAATTTATGTTAATATTACATACTGGTAAAATATGTATAGCCTGAATGCACTGTAAGTCGCTTTGGATAAAAGCGTCTGCTAAATGCATAAATGATTATTATTTTTATTTATTTCTTTTTTTTTGTGTATTACAATGAGAAATTTCAGTGAAAATGTGCTTTGTCATGAAAAAGTCTTTAACTTAAAAAAGATTTAACTTAAAAATATAATTTTTTATATTTTAAATGAAAAATATTGTTAAATGTATTATAACATTTATATTAATAATTATATAAGTTATATAATAATAAACATTAATATTAAAAATAGCTTTATATTAAATCAAATATCTGATCAAGTAGGGAAATAAATTGTTGCTTTTAATGTGGTGTGAAAAAATGTAATATTTAAAATAGGTTAATATTAATAAAATTAATCATGATATTTAAAAACAAAATCACGATTTTAACACGTTTCTGTGTCATGTTGGTTTTACTATTTTGTAAGTTGTCTGAGCATTACAGCCAAACTAATTTCCCTATTATAAAGACAAAGCCTTTCAAGGTAACAAAATATTAAAAAGAATGGCGGAATTTTTTGGCTAAAGTGGGCGAAGATAAAAATCTTTCATTATTTTATCTGCTATTAAAAAATAACAAAGATACACGTTACAAATACACATAATATACAAATAAAACCGTGCTTTATTTTCAGGTACAATATTCAGCAGGAGCAATAACTTTTAGAATAACTTTTATTTTCATGTGACATGTTTTCGTGAGATTCACATTCTGCTAAAAAGTAATTCTGTGAGTTGTTAAAGCACTAAGCCCCGTTAAGCCGTGGTTTACGGTGAATTTATAACAGCTAAGGGGTGTTGTTAGGCACGACGCGAAGCGGAGCTGTTATAAATTCACTGTAAACCACGGCTTCACGGGGCTTAGTGCTTTTATAAAACGGTTATTCCATATACGTAGTAAGGTTTCACAAAATAAAACGGAGCAAATAAAGTGTAATGATATTAATAAAAACAGTATTCTTCCACCAAACAATGTAGCTCCTCAGAATCAGTTGTGGTTGCTACAAAGTGGTTGCCGAGCAACACACAGAAGTAAACAGGTTGTATGTTTGTAGAGTAATTTACAACAGCTTCGAACTTGGCTCAGCCAATCAGAATCAAGGACCGGAACTCTCTGTTTTATAAGATTTATTTTGGTTGTTTTCCTCTGTAGCTCGACATCATGGAGCCGAAAGTGCCAGACGACATTTACAAAACCCACCTGGAGAACAACCGTAAGCCGCTTCAGCTCTCACGAGGAATGTGACGCGGTGTTTTATGTGTTTTACATGCGATGTTTCTCTCAGGGTTCGGCAGCAGCGGCTCACAGGTGGACTCCGCTCGCATGAATCTGGCCTCCTCTTTCGTCAACGGCTTCGTTAACGCCGCTTTCGGACAGGACAAGCTGCTCACGGAGGACGGAAACAAATGGCTCTACAAGAACAAGGACCACGGTGAGAGCAGGGCCGCCTCTGGGCAGCTAGACGAGATAAATCTGATGCTTCTGTGATGAGATGTGTGTTTGTTGCAGGCATGCTCAGCGCGGCGGCGTCTCTGGGAATGATTCTGCTGTGGGACGTGGACGGCGGTCTAACGCAGATCGATAAATATCTTTATTCGTCCGAGGACTACATCAAGGTACAGATTCACACACTCATTAGTGCACTCACTTTAAGGGCTGCATGATTTGGGGAAAACAAATCATGTGATTATAAAAAAATATATTATTTAAAATATTATATTCTATAAAATACAACCGTAGAATAGTAATAATTTGTTGTTGTTGTTGTTATTAAAAATGCAAATGATAAACAAAATAAGAAATATTATTCTTGTAATAGTTCACTGAAAAAAGTATAATATGAAAGAACAAAATATATATTATGATACATAATAATAATAATCATAATATGCTAATATACAATACAAATATTTATGGTACTTTTTTGTTACTTTAAGTATGTATTATATTTATTAAATATAATTCACTTTTATTTTGGTGGGCTGTAGTTAAAATCTGAGTTTCTGATAGTTTTTTTTTTTTTTTTTTTGAAATTACATGTTAAAATTTAATTACAGGTTTCATTCTACAGGTTTAATTACATTTTAGTAATGAAAAGTATGTCTAATCAGTTGAATTCATAAACGTTTAACAGTAAACAAAATTAGAAATATTACTGTTGTAATAGTTCACTGAAAAAAGTACAATATGAAATATTATGATGCATAATATTAATAAAAAAAAAAAAAATTTTTATTATAACATTTTTCAGTGCAAATGTGAAATGACAACACTGATATTTCTGGTGTTTGTTTCTTTCAGTCAGGAGCGCTGTTGGCGTGTGGCATCGTTAACTCCGGCGTTCGTAACGAGTGTGATCCCGCTCTGGCGCTGCTGTCTGATTACGTCCTACACAACAGCAACATCATGAGGATCGGGGCCATTTTTGGGTAATTCAGAAATTACACAAATCATTTAGAAATTAAAGGGGTCATATGATGCTGCTAAAAAGAACATTATTTGGTGTATTTGGTGTAATAAAATGTTTGTGGTTTAAGGTGCGTGAACATTTGGGCGGCGTTATGCAAATCTTCCCACATCTATGTATGTTTCATTCTACAGGTTTAATTAAATTTTAATAATGAAAAGTATGTCTAATCAATTTAATTCATAAAACATTTAACAATATAATAATTTATAATAATAAATAAAATTGTAACAATAATAGAGCCCTATGTTTTATTTTTCAGAAATTATATTTGAATTCTGTGTTTCATGATTTATTTTAAATGTATCATTAAAAATGGTAATCAAATTAACGCATGAATGTGAAGTTTTACTGTTTAAATTAAAACATGGACTAAAAATTGTTATCCCTTAAAACATAACGTTTATCAAAAAATCTGATTTTTACTTGAGGAATATTCTACTATACAATAGTGATATATTTCTGCCGTAATTTCTTTGTTAAACTGAACTTTTATTTTGGTGGCTACTGTGGGTTGTAGTAGAGACCGTTTAGTTTCTGTGTATTGTACTTTTTGATCAGATTAAACTATGAAATGGTAAAGTTCCACCCTAAATTCTGAATGTTTTTGCTGTTTTTGTGCAGGTTGGGTCTGGCGTACGCCGGCTCTAACAGAGAGGATGTTCTCTCGCTGCTGCTTCCTGTCATGGGAGACTCCAAATCCAGCATGGAGGTGCGTGTGTTTGCAGTGGAGAGCGTGTGTGTGAGAGCGTGTGTGTGAGAGCGTGTGTGTGAGAGCGTGTGTGTGAGAGCGTGTGTGTGAGAGCGTGTGTGTGAGAGCGTGTGTGTGAGAGCGTGTGTGTGAGAGCGTGTGTGTGTGTGTGTGTGTCTGTGTGTCTGATGAGTCCGTGTGTGTTTCTGCAGGTGGCAGGAGTGACGGCGCTGGCGTGTGGCATGATCGCTGTGGGTTCCTGTAACGGTGATGTCACTTCCACCATCCTGCAGACCATCATGGAGAAGAGCGAGCAGGAGCTCAAAGACACGTTCGCTCGATGGCTGCCCCTCGGCCTCGGACTCAACCATCTGGGTAAGAAGAAAATACAATACAGTACATACAGTAACAACTTCTGAGGTGTTGCAGTTTGAGGAAATGATCTATTTTTCCTGCAAGATTCAGGTTTGCTGTGTTTGTTTGTAGGGCACAATTTTGCCATAGTATCAATGTAACTATAAAATAATAATAATGTAAATTATTATTTATGATTAGCCATTTTAAATAGTTTAATTTTGTTTGTCCTTTATTTAACCAGAAATACAGCTTACTGAGATTAAAAACAATAACATTAAAATTTTTTATTGTTTTTATTATGATAAAAAAAAAATTGAAATAAAAAAAATTATAAATAGAATTTGTTTATTAGAAAATGTTACACAAAATAAGTATTACAATTGCAATATTTCACTGTAAAAAAAAAAAAAACGGGCATTTAAAAATAATATAATAATAACAATAAAAAAGTATTTATTTCACTGTTTTGTATTGTAAAATTACAATACTTATTTATGACATATATGATGTCTTCATTTTCAAACATTAAAAAAATCTAGTTTTTATTTTAGAGCAGCATTTAAAAACAAGACTATAACTATTTAATCTTAAAGTTTAGTGTTTAAATTAAAACATCAGTGAAAATTGTTATTCCTTAAAACATTTTAAAAATAAAAACATTGTATGATTATTACTAGAAGTACATTCTACTGTGCATATATATATATAAGATATATAAGATACATAAAATAGTTTTATATTTTCTTACTTTAAGTTAAATCAAACTTACTTCACTGTAAAATAAATAACTGAGTTTTTAAGAAAAATAATGTAATATAATAATAATAATAAAAATGTTTTACTGTTTGGCATTGCAAAATTATAATATACAATACAAATTTTTAAGGCTTAATTTCTTAAAGGGATACTCCACCCCAAAATGAAAATTTAATCACTTACCCCCATGTCGTTCCAAACCCATAGAAGCTCTGTTCGTCTTCGGAACACAATTTAAGATATTTTGGATGAAAACCGGGAGGCTTGTGACTGTCCCATAGACTGCCAAGTAAAATACACCGTCAAGGTCCAGAAAAGTATGAAAAGCATAGTCAGAATAGTCCATCTGCCATCAGTGGTTCAACCGTAACGTTACGAAGCGACGATTATACTTTTGTACTCGAAGAAAACAAAAATAACGACTTTATTGAACAATTCGTCGTCTCTATGTCTGTCCGCATCACCGCAGCACCATTTTGGAGGATACGTTTTCTATGTGCATTTACGCTGTGATTTGAAAGAAAACAGCGCATCCTTGTGGCTTTAATGGGTTTGGAACGACATGGGGGTAAGTGATTAATGACAAAATTTTGGGGTGGAGTATCCCTTTAAAGCATCATGTTTGTATTTTAGAGCAGCATTTACTGTGAACTGAGGTGCTCAAAACACCGGATCGTGTGTAAATGAACCCAGTGCCGCGCTGCACTCTGAAACACAGCATTTAATATAATTGCAGGTTTTACGGTTTGCTAATGGCTTGCATATATTTTGAATGCAGGTAAAGGTGAGGCAATCGAGACGACTCTAGCAGCTCTTCAAGTCGTCCCCGAACCCTTCCGCAGCTTCAGCAACACATTGGTGGACGTCTGCGCATACGCAGGTGAGTCACATGCTCTCTCAGCTCACACGCTTCAGATAAAACACACTCGTAACTAGGGGTGCTCCGATCAGGATTTTTGAGGCCGATCGCCGATCACAGAAAGCAGTATCTGCCGATACCGATCTTTTTAAAGCCTTCTTTTAATCATTTATAACTATTTAACATTTATTCAGGGCCTGTATTTCATTTTTGAAAATGGGGGGAATTCCCCTCTTAGGTGTCTCTTGTGAGAAGAGAAGCAGCTTTCACACAGGAGTCCGCTACTGATCCGTGTTTACCACAAACACAACATTTATCCATTATTTTGATTATTTATCATTATTTATCCAATGCTTTTTCAGCATTGCAATTCTTTGTTTTACACAGTACAGTAATACAATCTTTCACAGACATGTTTAAACACAATAAATATAAGCAACACATTATTCAATGCTTTTAACTTTTGCATTTACTTCTAGATTTATATATTAAGTTGCTCAAGCAAGTGGCAAAACATTTAAGCTACTTTTCTTACGTTATCACTAGAGATGCACCGATCGATCGGCCAGGAATCGGAATTGGCCGATTTTCCTCATGATCGGCCCGGATCGGTGATCGGTCGGTCAGTCTCACTTCTTTCCGATTCC